AGAGAGACACACACACAGACAGAGATAGAGAGACAAAGAAAGGGACAGAGACAAAAAGACACACAGAAAGACAGAAACAGAGAGAAAAAAGGAGAGACAGAGAAAAAGATAGAGAAAGAGGGAGTAAGGAGGGACTGGGGGAGAGCAGAATTCAAAATGGAAGGAAGTCCCAGAGAGACTCTTTTTTTTTAAGGCAATTGAGGTTAAGTGACTTGCCCAGGGTCACACAGCTAGTAAGTGTCAAATGTTCGGTCTGAGGTCAAATTTGAACTCAGGTCCTCCTGACTTCAGGGCCAGTGCTCTATCTACTGCACCACCTAGCTGCCCCTGAGGCTCTCTTTTTGTTCAGTGCAGTAGTAGTAATAATAATAACAACAACTAACATTTATGTGGTGGTTGCTATGTGCTAGACACTATGCTAAGCATTTTACAGTTATGATCTCATTTGATCCTCACAACAACATCCCTAGGAGATGGTGCTATTATTAACCTCATTTTACAGTTGAGGAAACTGAGGCAGACAGAGGTGATGTGACTTGTACAGGGTCACACATCCAGGAAATGTCTGAAGCTGGATTTGAACTCAGTTCTTCCCCAGTGTAAGAAAACTTCCTAACAACAAAAGAGAATGGGTCCTTATGTTGCCTTACTTAATAGATAGTGAGCTCCCTGTCTGGGGCTCTTCTAGCAGTTAGATATTGGATGAACGCTAGTCAGGGATGCAGTAGAAGAAATTCCTTATCAGGCTTATTTAAACTAGATGAAGCCTGAAGGCTGTCCCAGTTATTGCAACTCCTCCATTCTTTCTTTCCATCCCCTTTTTCCTAGGCTGGCCTCTCAAAGGGAGCATGATCTGAGGGCTCAGGCTGACAGGAGGAACAGGTACCTCTGGGGCTGGGACTGGAGCAGCTAGTGACACTCATGCACCCAGCAGGATCGAAGCTCCAGACCTAGAAGGGGCAGCAAAGATCATCCAGCCCCATCCCCAGACTTGACAGATGGAGAAACCGAGGGCTGTTGAGGCTGAAGGACTTGCTCTCCTCTTTCTCTTCTCACTTCTCTCTCTCTGTCTCTCTGTCTCTCTGTCTCTCTGTCTCTCTGTCTCTCTCTCTCTCTCTCTCTCTCTCTCTCTCTCTCTCTCTCTCTCTCCACTGCATCCCCATGCCTCTCCTCCATGTGACTCTGCTTGTAGAGTCTCTGACACTCTCCTGGACTGTGTCTGAGTCCCCTTATGTGGATTCTTTGACCTGCTTCAGGAAGTGGTAGATTCTGCCTCCTCAGAGGGCTTCAGGCAAAGGCTGGACGACCCTTTGCCCAGCATCTCTTTCCTCACGGATAGAGTGGCCCAGACGGCCGCTGAGGCTTCTCCACCTCTGAGGTGCTGGGATTCTCTGGAGTCCTTTGCTGCTCAGGAGAGGCAGAGAACAGAAAACAGGGTTCAAGACTAGGGTGGGGTTAGGGACCGAGGGATTGGAATCCCTGTGTCAGACAGTTTAGTCCATGGGTTTGAAGGGAAAATTCTTCCAAGTTTTGGATAGCATAATGGGAAGGCAAGTGTTAACTGAGCTCCCAACCACCGCCATCCTCCCCAAATCCTTCTGTGTCCTGTGATTTCTCTCCTTCATGGTCTATACCCCCAGCCATGTTGCCAGTGGTCAAAAGGATGTCTGTGTATTTCTTTTTGGGCCGGGAGAGGGGAAATCTAGGTCATACCCCAGGACTCAGGAGCTGCCATAAGACACCAAGTCCAGGGTTGCAGGTTTGTCAGGATGCTAGAAAATACTGCTGAGTAGGCTAACCACTTCCGGCCTGGGGGCCGTTCTTCAGGGTCTCACTCTGCATGTGCATCTGCAGGTCTCCTTGGTTCTGAACCTTTGGGTGTCTGTGAGTCCTTTTTGTGTTTCTGAGTGTCTCTGAGTCTGTATCCCTGTATTTCTGAGCCTCTGTGTATTTGTGTGTCTCTCTGAGTTTCTGTGTCTCTCTGGGTCTCCGTGTCTCTGGCTTTCTGAGCGTGTCTCTGAGTCCCTGTTATATTTCTGTATCTCTGTGGATCTCTGTGAGTCTTTGTTTCTGAGTCTCTCTTGTGTCTCTGAATCTCTGAGTACCTCTGGCTCTCTGTGAGACACCGTATCTCTGTATTTCTGAGTTCTTGTGTGTCTCTGAGCTTGAATGTGTCTAAATCTCTGTTCTGATTCTGGGTCCCTGGGTGTCTCTGGGTCCCTGGGTGTCCCTGGGTCTCTCTCTGGCAGGGGCACTGAAGCTTTTTTGTGCCCTCAGCCCCTTCGGCAGCATGATGAAGTCTAGCAGACCCTTCTCAGAATCAGGCTTTTAAATGCATAATTAAAATCCATAGTATACCGAAGGAAAGCCGTGATCGTTGAAATACAATTATCAAAATATTTTTAAAAACAAAAGCTGGGTTAAGAATCATGTCCCATGTATGTGAGGCTTTGCGTATCTGAGTGCTTGTGTTGCTGAGTCTCTGTGGGCACTGGATTAGCAGGAATGTGGGGAGGCAGCGGTGAGCGGTGAAAGATGAAGGACTTGGGGGGTGTAAGTGCTCCTTACCAGTCCCAGACATGAGCTCAGGGGTAGTTCAGACTCCCCTGGGAAGCTCCTGAAGAGGCCCAACCCAGACTGGAAACTGAGTCACACTAGAAGGGAAATGACCAACTTCAGGGTCTAGTGATGGTGCTCAGGTGTGTGGTTCCCCCCGTCTCCCTAGTCCATGACCCTGAGGACCCAGACTCCAAGTGAGTTGTTCTCTCTCTCTCTCAGAGGGGAGGGGGAGTTGGTGGGGGGGAGGGAGAACTCCTCTGATCCTCCAACAAGCTCTTTTGTACTTTTCGAGGGGGCAGATACGTCTTTCCCAAGCTGGAGGTAGATGAGGCCAGAAGGCAATCACTCTCTCTTCTCTCCCCCCTCCCCATTCCCTCCCTCTTCCTCTTTTTGCCTTTCTCCCTTTCTCCCTCCTACACACTCCAGGGGCGGAGGCCAAATTGGGGCCAGGGCTGGGGCTGGAGCGTGTCAGGCTGTGTCAGTCAGGCGGAAGTTGACCCTGGAGCCAGGACCCAGGCGTCCAGTCACCCACTCAGCTTGCCCTGGGGTTGGCAGGGGGATGGGGAGAGGGGAGGAGGGGAAGAAATGAGAGCCAGTGAATCAGGAGGAGGGAGGGGAGGCAGAGCAGATGTATAAAACCAGATGTTTCTAAAACCGGAGCTCAGGACCAGGCGCCTACAGAGACCCAGGAATGTGGGCCCCCAGCCTCTGCCTTCCTAGGGTCCTCACACCCTTTGGGAATTCAGGCTACTGGTCTCTTCCTCTATTCCTGAGATTCAAAAATCTTCTAAGATGGGGCTGGGGTGGGAGAGTCTGGGGTTGGGTCATAGCCATCCCCTCCCCTTGCCTTGGCATTAGGCTGTCTTGATTTCCTCTCTCTCTCTCTCTCTCTCTCTCTCTCTCTCTCTCTCTCTCTCTCTCTCTCTCTCTCTCTCTCTCTCTTGTGGTCTTTCTCTCTGTGTCTCTGTCTCTGTCTCTCATTTCTATCCTTTCCTCTTTCTGTTCTCTATCTCTCTCTGCCTCTGTCTCCTCTCACCTCTTCTCTTCTATCTCTCTGTCTCTCTCTGTGTTTCTCTATCTGTCTGTCTCTATATCTGTCTCTCTGTCTCTGTGTGCATCTGTGTGTCTCTTTGTCTCTCATCTCTCTCTATGTCTGTCTCCTCTTCTCTCTTTGTCTCTCTCTCCCCCTTCCCCCCTCCTCTCCTCTCCTCTCCTCTTCCTCCTCCTCCTCTTCTTCTTCTTTTTCTTCTTTTTCTTCTTCTCTCTCTCTTTCCTCCCTCTCTCTCTCCATTTCCCTTCTTCTCTGTGTCCTCTATATCTATTACTATGTTTATCTTGATGTCTCTTCTCACTGTCCTGTCTCTGTCCCTCTGCCTATGTTTCTTTGTGTCTCTATTCCCATGGGTCTCTATCTTTCCTCCAGGAAGGACTGAATGGGTGGGGAAAGGTGAGATGCATCAGTGGGAAGGTGTGGGGTATAATGGGGTGAATGTCAGGAGGCCAGACAGACAAACTGAGGGATTGATTCACTGGCCAACTGTAACCACAACCCAGCCCTCTTCCTGCTCATTCTTCCTTCCCCACATCCAGGGTTATCTCCCCACAGTTTTTTTCTATGTGCTAAGTGAAAAACCTAGATTCCTCACCCCTTCCAAAACACACATACCCTACAGCCACAAGGACTCAGGCACCCCGAACTCCTAGCCTTGCCCCTCAGGGACTCAGAGGTCCTGACACCCCCTCCTCCCAGGTTCTGTTCCAGCATCAGGATAAAGTTAAACCAGGGGAGTAATCAGGTCTGAACTGACGATGGGCGTAGGCTCAGACCAAGGGATAAACACAGACCTGTCACCTCTCTATGTGTATACATACCCTGGTTTTCTCTATTTTTTGTTAAATGTCTCATCTTTCTTTATCTCACTTTCTCTGTCTCAGTATTTCCCTGTCTTTCAATTTCTTTGTCTCGGTATTTCCCTGTCTCTCAGTTTCTCTGTCTCTTTCTCAGTCTAATTCCCTCCTTCTCCCTGTCTGCCTCCCTCTTCCTCTGGTCACTTCTCCCTAGTAAACATTCCAGTCACCTGTCCATTGGGAACAAGAAACCTCAGTGTTCCCAAAGAAAACAATGTTGGGAGGGGAAGGGGGAAGGGATCAGAGAAGGGGCCTGAGCTTAAGGAACACCTAGGGTAAAGAGCCCAGAACACAAGCTGGGGAAAAATCTCTTAGGGTCTCTTTAGGTTTTCCTTTGCTTCTCTCTTTGTGCCCTATATCCCATGCATGTCTCTGGATAGCCAAAGGAGGGAAAGAGAAGAGGAGGGGAAACAGACAGAGACAGATAGTGGAGAGACAAAGACAGAGAAATAGAGAGACACAGACAGAGTCAGAGAGACAGAGACAGAGAGAGGAGAGAGAGACAGAGTGAGGGAGGAAGGAGAGACAGACAGACACAGAGAGAGACAGAGAGGCAGAGAGAGAGACGGAGACCTGGACTCCTGAAACGGGCCAGGGACCTATGGGCTAAGGGCTGGATCTGAGAGCCTCCCAGGAGGGATAAGTATGACATGCTGAGTTCTTCCTCCTCCATTACCAGCAGAACTTGCTGATGGGGTCTATGTGCCTGTTCTGACCACAAATTATGCAACTGTGGATCAGTCCCGGATACTCCTTCCTCGTCTTTTAACCGAAAGCTGAACCAACTCCCAGAGGAGACCAGAGGCCAGTGAGGCATCAGTACGTATGGTGAGTCTGGGCTGGGAACCTGGACTGGGGGAGTCGGGGTGGAGGGAGGCTGAAGAAGAATTGGGACACCCAGCTCTCCAAGAGGAAAGGGGATGGGAAGAGGAGAGGTGAGGAGAAAGTTGTTGTTTTCTGGGTCCCTTTCCCCAGCTTCACGCCTCACTCTGGAGAGCTTCAAAATTCCTCCCCTCTCCTCACTTAGCACTTACACACACACACACACACACACACACTCTCTCTCTCTCTCTCAACAGAGACTTAGAGAGTTAAAATGACTTGCCCAGGATCACACAGCTAGCAGGGTTCAAACCCAGGTCTTTCTGACTTTAAATCCTGGTTACTGTCCATTACACTACTCTGCCTCTAGGGGAGACTTTAGAATATAAAGTTTAAGAGCTGAGAGGACCAAATATAGCTTGAAAAGCCTTTGGATTTTCATTTCCAGATTTTAGAGGGGAAAAACCTTTAAAACCTATAATGTCAGAGGTGGGAGGAGCCTTAGGACATAGAATTAGGGTGAGAGTCTCTCTCTTTCTTCTCCTCCTACCTCTGTGACTGCTACTTCTCTATATCTTTTGCTAGATCATCTTCCTGCCCCATGGGTATGCCACCACGTTCCGTCCTGGATCTTCTCCTTTTCTTCTTTTTTTCTTCCTCTTTTCTTCTTCCTCTCTTCTTCATCTTCTTTCTCTCTTCTTCTTCTTTTTCTTTTTCTTCTCTCTCCCTCTCCATCCTCTCTCTAGTTACTCTTACCAACTCCCAAGGGTTCAGTTATCTCTGTAGATGATTCCCAGATATTGACATCCAGCCATAATCTCTCTCCTGAGCTTCAGTTCAATATTTCCAAACTGCTTGTTATCAATCCCTGCCTGGGCATCTAATAGGCTTCTCAAACTCAACATATCTGAAACAGCTCATCCCTTCTCCCAACTTCCCCATCTCTATGGATGGTACCAACATCCACCCAGAGTTTCAACCAGGGAGGTATCTTTGATCTTTCCCTGTCCCTTAACCACTATATCCAACCAGATTCTCAATCCTTTCAACTCTCCCTCCACAACATCTCCGACATTCTTTCTACTCACACAGCCTCCCCACCTCCACCTCTTGTTCAGACCTTTCTCTGGTCTTCATCACCTCTGGTCTGAACTATTGCAATACCCTCCTAATTAGACTCTCTGGTTCCACTTTCCAATTCATCCAAACAGCTGCCAAATGCATAGTCCTAAAACAGAGAAGTTTTTGCACTGCCTTACTCTACAATCTCCAGTGGCTCCCTGTTACCTATAGAATAAAGTACAAAATCCTCAGCCTGCCATTTAGAGCCCAGGACCATCTGGCTTACATCTACCTTTCCAGCCTTATCCTTCTTGAACTCACCATTACAAACTGGTCTGTAAGCATTCTCTACACCCAGCATCCTGTCTCCAAGTCTTTGTTCAAGTGGTCCTCTGCATATGGAATGTTCTTTCTCCTCACCCGTATCTCATAACATCCTCAGCTCCCTTCATGGCCCAGCTCAGGTACTATCTCCTACCTGAGGTGTCTCCTTCTGTGTGTGTGTGTGTGTGTGTGTGTGTGTGTGTGTGTGTGTGTCTATCTCTCTGTGCCTCTGTGTCTGTCTCTATCTCCCTGTCTCTGTCTCTATCTCTCTTTGACTCTCTCTGTCTCTCTCTCTCTCTGTTTCTCTCCCTGTCTCTCTCTCTCTCTGTCTCTGTCTCTCTGTCTCTGAAATGACTTAACATTACATTTTATTTCCTTACTCAGCATTTAGCCCTGTGCCTGGCCCAGAGTAGGTGCTTAATGAATGCTTCCTGACTTGACATATTTGTATATGTATTGCCTTCTTCCAATAACATACAAGCATCTTTAGGGCAAGCACCCTTTCAGTGTGTCTTTGTCTCCTCAGCAGCAAAAGCTGCTGCATAATAAGGCTGCATAATAAGGATATCTCATAACTGTTGGGTAAACTACAGGTCAGATCTGGAAGGGACAAGAACATAGAACATCAAATGTCAGAACCAGAAGAATCTTAGGACATAGGAGAGAGAGAGGAGAGGCGAAGAGAGAGAGAGGAGGAGAGGAGAGGAGAGGAGAGGAGAGGAGAGGAGAGGAGAGGAGAGGAGAGGAGAGGAGAGGAGAGGAGAGGAGAGGAGAGGAGAGGAGAGGAGAGGAGAGGAGAGGAGAGGAGAGGAGAGGAGGAGAGGAGGAAGGAAGGAAGGAAGGAAGGAAGGAAGGAAGGAAGGAAGGAAGGAAGGAAGGAAGGAAGGAAGGAAAAGGAAAAAGAAGAAAGCAGTACAGAGAGAAAGAGAAAGCAATCAAGAGGCAGACAGAACATTTTTAAGCAGACACTGTGCTCAGTACTGGGGACAAATACAAGCAGCAAGATATTCCTTAACCTCAAAAACCTTTTATTCAAAAGCGGAAGCCAACACACAACAGGAAGTGGAGAGTTGCAGAAAGACAGTGGTCTGGTGTGGAGATAACCAAGAAGCGTTGTAGAGGCTGGTTCCGGGCAAAATAAGGCTAAACTTCTCTCAAAGAGCTCCATGTTCCAGCAGTGGAGTCCAAGGTTCCATTGGGAAGGAACTGAAAATGAGGACCAGAGGTCAGGCAGCCTGGTGTGGAGAAGTCAATATGCTTTAATATGAACTCATTCCAAAAGCTGGGAAGGTAGGTGGGAACCAGATTTTGGAGAGTTTTTAATACCACAATGAGAATTGTGTATTTTATCCTGTAGACAATAGGGAACCACTGAGAATTTTTGAGTAGGACAATGACATATGCTCTAGGACTGTGAATTTGGCAGCTGTGTGGAGGATGGCTTGGAGAGGGGGGAGCCTGGAGACAGGGAGAACAATTATGAGACTCTTTCAATAGTCTAGGCTAGAGGTGGTAAGGGCCAGAAGTAGGATCATAAGGGCCTTGAACAAGGGTAGAGACTATATAAGAGGAGAAAATAGGGTTAATACTGGAAATGTTGTGAAGGAGGAGTGGACAAGATAGAGAATCTGGTTGGATACGGTCATCGTCATCGGTCGGTGTCAGAGAATAATTAAGGCAGCTTCAGGAAGCAGGGCTGCTAGAGATAAAAAGGAGTGTTAGCTATAAGCTCTACAAGGGTTCCTATGGTCTGAGCCCAGCAGAGAGCTGCCCCTGGGGGGAAATTCATGCATGTCACCAAAAGACCATCCAATAACCAAGAGTAGTGAGTTACTCCTTTGATACAAATATTTTCTACATATATGGTTTACTACCTTTGCACCTTAAATCCATGGCCACAGTCCCCTTATATCTTGTATTTATTTATGGGGAAATGTGTTCTCGCTATTTCATCTTACCAAATACCTTTGCTAACAAGCTAATTAAACCTGGCTGATTATCAATTGGAAACACACTGATAGGGGCTCCTGAGAGACAACACTAAAAATCCAGCTCCTCAGAGCTCTCCCTAGAACCTGGAGACAGAAGTCAGCCATTCTCTTGGAATCCGGCCAGTTAATGTGAATGGCAATTAGGGAAGTAGGACCGGAAGGGGTAGCATATCTGTGTCTACTTGGAGATATCGGGCAAGTCTCAGTTGTCTACTACAGTCACATGATCTGCGAAATGAGGAGGCAGAGCTGAATGCTCTCTAAGCTTCCTTATCTCTCATGCCCCATCTCATTTGTTGACAAGGCCTGCCCATCTGAATATGCCTCCTCCTTCCTGGTGACACTGCCCCTACTCTGGGGAGGACCCCTCGTTGCCTCACACCTGGACTATGTTGGTAGCTGCTGGGGGGTCTGTCATCCTCAAGGCTCTCCCCACTGCAGTCCATCCTCCATTAGCCACTAAAATGATTTTCCTAAAGCTCAGGCCCAATCATCACACACACACACACATACACAAATATAAACACACCCCTACTCCCCACTCAATAAACTCCAGTGGTTTTCCACTGCCTCCAGGATCAAATAAAAAGTGCTGCTTTCCAAGCTCTTCATCACCTAGTGACGACCTACCTTTCCAGCCTTCTTACATCTTTGATCCAGTGACACTGGCCTTCTGGCTGTTACATGAACAAGACCCTCCATCTCTCATCTCCAGCCATTCCCTCTGGCCGTCTCCCACGACTGGCACACTCTCCCTCCTCTACTCTTTGGCTTCCTTCAAGTCCCGACTAAAATCCCATTTTTTCTTGGAAGTTTTCTTCAACCCCTCAATTCCAGTGCCTTCTGTCTGTTAATTATTTCCCATACGGGCCATCTCCAGTTGTCCTGATCTGTATTTCGCCGCTGGACCCAAAACGCTCTGGAGAAGCTGTGGCTGCTGGCTTTGCACGGCGCTCTATCGCTTGAATCCGATGCACTTGTAAGTCATGGCGTCACCTTCCTGATGTTATGGTCCTCTCCAAGAATGAAGGACAAAAACCATTTCCTACATATCCTGTATATAGCTTGCTTTCTATATAGTCATTTAGATGCTGTCTCCCCCATTAGATGGTAAGCTTCTTGAGGGCAGGGACTTTCTTTTGCTCCTTTTTTGTATTCTCAGTGCTTAGCGTAGTACTTGGCACACAGTAGGTGCTTAATCCATGTTCATTGATTGATCAGCTACCTGCACCACAAGGGAGTTAGACTAAGTGAACTCAAAGGGAACTTCTAGCTCTGATAGCCTAGGAGATCTCAGGATTTCTTAATCTACAGCAGAGAACCAAAGACACTCGAGACCTCGAAGGCCATTAAGTCCAATGCTCTCAGGCCATAACTGGGACCAATGAGGCTCAGAGAGGAGACCACAAGTCAGGCCTTGGAAGAGGGTCTGCTGCAAATTCTAAGATTGGGCAGCAGTAATCCTAGGGCCCCAGCACCTAAGAGATGAGGGGTCTGGGCAGGATCAGCCGTATTTAACAGGGGAGACTCTCTTGGGGAAAGTGGCCAGAGTCAAGCAGCCAGACCAGGGAGAGCATGCGGCTGAGTGGCCGGAAGCCTTGAAGGAAATCCTTGGTCAATTCCAATCAAGTCAACAGGCATTGATGAAAGACCTACTGTGTGCCAGGCACTGTGCTTAGCGCTGGGGGTGGGGGAGGGGGAATAAAGGCAAAACCAGTCCTTGCCCTCGAGGGGCTTGCCATCTAATGGTTATTGGTGTGTCCCAGGTGCTAGCATGATGGAGAACTCCTCAGTGCTCCCTTCAGATGCTTCAGACGCCCTCTTCCCCACAGAGGCACCACCAACTGCCGTCCACCAGGCCTTCTGGATCATCTCACTCATCATCTTCTGCCTAGCCTTTGTGCTGGGCATAACTGGCAATGGGCTAGTGATCTGGGTGGCAGGCTTCCGGATGGCTCGCACGGTCACCACTGTCTTGTTCCTCAACCTGGCTTCAGCAGACTTCACCTTCACTGCCTTCCTGCCATTCCTCATCATTGGCACCGCCCTGCAGCCCCACTGGCCCTTTGGCTGGTTCCTCTGCAAGCTAATTAGCTCCCTGGCTATTTTTAATATGTCTGCCAGCGTCTTCTTGCTGACCCTCATCTCTCTTGACCGCTGTGTCTCTGTCCTCTGGCCAGTGTGGGCCAGGAATCACCGCACACCTCGTCGAGCTGCCCTGGGTGCTGCAGGCGCCTGGACTTTTGCTCTGGCCTTCTCTGTCCCAACAGTCATCTTCAGGACCACATACACAGAGAATGAGACCACTATTTGCTACTCTGAGTTTGACCCCTGGGAGGAGGCAGGAGATGATGAGGAGTACTATGATGCCCTGTCTGAAAGCCGCCACCGGTCACTGGTGGTCAGCCGCTTCATCCTTGGCTTTGTAATTCCACTCCTCATCATTACTGTCTGCTATGGCCTCATCACTGTCAAGCTCTGGAGTACAGTGAAGACAAAGTCCAGTCGGCCCTTCAAGATCCTCACGGCCGTGGTGGCCGCCTTCTTCCTCTGCTGGCTCCCTTACCACGTGATGGGCATGATAGAGGTTTCTGTCTCCAGCCATCCACACTTCGAAGAGGTTCTGCCTTACCTGAGCCCTCTCTCATCCTCCCTGGCATTTATCAACAGTTGCCTCAATCCCTTGCTCTATGCCTTCATAGGCCGGGACTTCAGGGAGAGACTGTTCAGATCCCTGCCAGCTGCTCTGGAGCGGGCTCTGAGTGAGGAGTCTGCCCCGACTGTAACCACGGGCAATAGTTCTACCTGTGCACCTCCTGCCAGTGATGCCGAAACTCAGGGTCTGTGAGGGGGCGCCTTATCTTCTGTGGTCTTTCTGTGGGGCCTGCCTTCACGTGGTCCAAATTCCAACTTCTAAAAGACCCACCAACTCTGACATTTTATGTTCTAAGGTCACTCCTGGCTCTGACATTTCAGGTTCTAAGGGCCCTCCCACCTTGACATTCCAGATTCCAAATCTCCTTCCCTTCTGACAGGGCTCTCAAACCTCTAACATTCTAGGTTCTAAGAGCCCTTCCCCCTTTGACATTTCCAATTCTAAGAGTCTTCTCACCTCTAACATTCTAGGTTCTAGGGATCCTCTCACCTCCAACATTCAAGGTTCTAAGAGCCCTTCCCCCTTTGACATTTCCATCCCAAATCCCTGGGTCCCACCGTTGTTCTTCCTGAACCCTCTCAGATTTCTAAGCCTTCCCTCAGAAGCTCCCAGCTCCCTCTGGCCAATGGCCCTTCCTGCTGTGGCTTTGGGCCCCCAGACATGGACAAGCTTCCCATTAGATCACCAGAGTTTGTTTCCAAAATCAACATTGGACTCCTCCAGGCCTTGGTCCTGCTCCCTCAGCCTTCTGGCCCCAGCCTCTTCAGCCTTCCCAGCACAACCCTGGGGGGAAGTGGGAATACTAGGGTGAAGAGAAAGGGGATCCTCTTCCAGGACCTAAAAGGGAGAGGGCCAGGGAAGTAGCCTGAGACTGAGAACACCAAGATCTGGGTTCGAGTCCTTACTCTGCCAGTGGGACCTAGGCTTAGACGTAATTAATGGAGGCTGAAGTGGCCCTTGGTGACCCGGGAGCACCTCCAAGGTACCATTTCTTTTTTTTAATAGATGATTTGTAATATTTTTTACTGGTTTTCATGCCCCCAGATCTCCCCATCTTCTTCCAAAAAGCCACCCCTTAACAATAAAGAACTCCAAAAAGCAGGGGAGAGGTGTTAAAGGAGGAAGATGAGAGAAAAGTTCAGCAAAACTTCTCCATTAATGGAGCAGCTAGATGGTGCAGTGGATAGAGCACCAGCCCTGGAGTCAGGAGGACCTGAGTTCAAATCTGGCCGCAGATATTTACTAGCTATGTGACCCTGGGCAGTTCACTTAACCCCAGTTGCCTTAAAAAAAAAGTGCCCCATTAAAAAATGCTAACATTATTATGTGCCCTCTCCCCAGCCCCTCAGCAAAGCCAGGCACCCCATTTTGTTGACAGTGGCTCTCTGGCTCCAGGGTGACTCTGTGAGCCTGGCAGGGGCTGCCTCCCCCAGGAATTGGGGCTAGAGATGAGGTCACACACCATGGGTCACACTCAGGGAGAGCACTTCACTGGTAGGTCTGGCCACTTACCAAAGGCCTCAGTCATGGCCCTTTCTGGAGTTCTGAGTCGCGGCTTGCCTTGAGGTCTAGGTGAGGGGGTGGGGAAAGGAGAGGAGATTTCCAAGACCCTTCACCTTCACAAGCACCCATAGAACTTCAAGCTGCGGAGGACCTTAGACATCCATTTTACAGATGAAAATACTGAGGATTACTTTGGTTATGTCATTATAAGCTCTAACATCTGGCTTAGTGCCTTGCATTAACATCAGGCAGCTATTCTGAAGATCAAATGAGCTTATATTTGTAAAAAGCCCTTCGCCTAAAGCCTACAAGTAGTAGACACTATATACTTATTCCCTCCCCTTCCTCTTTTCCTAAGGGCTATAGAGGGCCTAACCTGAACCCACATTCTATGACTCAGTGTCCAGCGCTCTCCATTACTCAACAACATCTCCCCTCCACTGGCTATGGGCCACATACCTGAGGGAACACTGGAGAGGGGAGAGAAACTCTTCCTTCTAGGGATTCGTAGTCTGACTGAGAAAACATACACCCTCCACAGGAGGGACATTGATCACTGCACCCGGAAGACCACCAACCCCTACGTTCTCTTATCCTTTGCTTGTCTGCCTCAATTACAGAGCTGGGAAGAGGAAAGGTCAGAGGTGGGAGGGCCCTCAGAACAGAGAATTTCAGAGCTGGGCTGAAAAGCTTGGTGCTTTGGGATGTTAAAAAAAAAACCCACTCCACGGCGTGTTAGCGTCTCTCCCACTCCTGGTCCCTGGTGACAGAGGCAGGCGGATTGGCACTGCATCAGTTTAAAAGGCAAGACATCTTCTGCACTCCCTCTTTCTTCCCACTCAGTATGCTCTCTTTCTAAGAGCTCTTGTGAGAAATAATGGCTGCTTGCATATGGCCTCTACAGCAATTGCCCTTCCAGAGAAGGATGGCATGACTCCTCCCCCTCAGAACTGAGCCCAGTTTGAGTTCAAAGATCCAAAGCTGGGGGCACCCTAAGAGAGAGGGGGCAAGCATCCCAGCCCCTCTCCCAGAAGTCTGTCAACAGCTGGTGGTGTTATGTTTCTCTAAGTGGACAAAGCAGCAATAGAAAATGCTAGAGTTTATGTGATTATAACCAATAGGAGAGAACAGACAGCAAAAATGCTCTCCCCATCATGTGGTACCCAACAATTCTTTCTGACTGGAGAGCCGTCAATAAAAAGCAATAGGAAAAAAAAGTTCTGAACAGGAGGAAGTCACAAAGCTCTCCCTTCCCACCATGCAAGAGAGAATGATTTCATCTGGGGGAGCCTTTTGTACTCATGCTCAGGTCTGACCCAACAATGAATTACAAGGTTTTTCTTCAATATGCTTCAAGTGGACAGGAAACTGCCAGGAGACCTGGGCAGGCTCTGACTCTGGGAAGCGAAGAGCACCACCACCACATCTTCCTGGCAGGAGGTTGACCAAGCCTTCATGCTCATATTTAAGCAGAGGAGCATATTGTGCTTGCTTTACAGATTGGGCCCCCATTGGCCAATCCTTCCCTTTACACAGCAAAATCTGACTTTTATATACTTTGATACTCAGTAAGTTTGGCAATGTGCTTTGCATACAGCATTTCATTTGAAATAGTCTCTTAGTGTCTTTGAAGTAGGTCATTTAACATTATTATCCCCCCGTTGTATACTTTCTGATATAATCAAATCTGTATAATTTTCCTGATCGCTGTTTGCATTGATGAAAGGATTTCCTCACCATTCACTATTTGTGGTATTCTTTTGTGTAACTAAAGGAGGGAAAGGAGTCAACCTAGAGGTATAAGCTTGGAGCAACCCTCCCTCCTTTAAGGGTTATCAACCAGGGAAGGGTTTTTGTTTTGTACCCTAGACCAGCATTGTTGGGGGGTAGAGTGCAAGAAGAGATATAATTCTAGCCTAGTACCCCTCTTAGGGGTAGCTAAGTGGCTCAGTGCATGGAGAGCTGGGCTTGGAATTAGGAAGACCTGAGTTCAAATCCAGCCTCAGAAACTTACTAAGTGTATGATCCAGGGCAAGACTGCCTTAATGTATTGGGAATGGAAATGGCAAACCATTCCAGTATCTTTGCCCAAAAAACCCAGTGGATAGTACTAGTATGCTGTGGTCCACATAGTCACGAAGTCAGACATAATTGAACAACAACACAACCCCTCTTGGAGAGAGGAGAAAAAAAACACACCCAGTTTGTCAATGCCCTGGAGCGTATCTGCTCCTCTCCTAGCTATCATGCTGTCTTGTCTCTCCCTTCATATGATTTCAATTCATATGTTTACATGGCACCTCACTTGAGGCAGATTTAGACAACATTGTGGAAATATAGTTCACACACACACATACACACACACACACACACACACATACACATACTACACCTGGACAGAGTAAAACTGCCCGAAAATCCAAGAAATTGTTGGTTCTAATTGCACCAAAGTTCCAATAACATAGAAGGTGGCTGTTCTATGTATTTTGTGAAGATTTCCAAAAACATTCCTCTCCCCTTCAGCCCATGCCAATCCTGCTTTGTGTTCTTAACCTGAAAGGCCATCCGAGAGAAGAGGCATTCTGCTTGTTCAGTTTGGCCCCAGTGGGCAGAACTCAACACTAGGGCTTGGGGGATGGGGGAGAGCTGCAGAGAGAAAGGGTCCAGCTCATCCCAGGGAAAGCCTGGAATCTGCAGTGGGCAGAACTCAGCACTAGGGCTTGGGGAATAGGGGACAGCTGCAGAGAGGAATGGTCATGCTCATCCTAGGGAATGCCTGGAATCTCTACACCTTTTCCTGATCTGTTTTTATGTTGCTCTGTGGAGATGTTGGGGCTCAGGAAATGCCCCCACAGACCCCAGGGGACAGAGGAAAGATAGCAGAAGCTGGGAGCCAGAGACCAGGAGACAGGTTACAGTGATCACCAGTCACGACCCCCTTGTCTTCTACTGCACCTTTCCCTTTCCTTCTCGAGCCTTTTCCTCTGACCCTGCAGCAGCGATTTCCTCTGGCGCAGACAGTGTCAGAGGCTGAGATGGAGTCTTTGGCAGCAGGAGTGTGAGAGAACTGCAAGTAACTGGACTAACCTGGGCGTCTAGTGGCCAGTGAGGGTACTGCAGCCCTTATAAAACATCTGTAGTCTCACACATAGGGCAGAGATTGATGAGGACCAAGCTCGAGGCTCTGCTGTGGCGACACCTGGTGGCTAAATTCAGATATTGCGCCACTTGATTCAACTCCTGTGAGTCAATTAACACAGGGGTAACATGCCAGCACCATGTAAGCTGCCTGGGCATGATTGTTCTGGGGGTCCCCAAAGTCCTCCATGAAATGAGATAGGGAAGGAGAGTGCCTTGGCTGCAAAGTGGACTCCTGTCCCAGGACATTAAGGAGGTGACCGTCCATGGGATTTGAAAGAGATTCAAAAAGTCCTGTGCATGGTAGAGAAAAAATGTCACAGCCAGAAACGTTGAGAATCTTCTCTCCTACAGCAGGATGAAACAAGTAAAGACAGGAGAGAGCCATCAACATCATGCTGCCCACTTTTTCATTTTGTATTGTTTTGGAGGGCGAGGGAGGACTAGAAGTAGTGAGTATAATTCGCAAGCAGGCAGATGTCAGCTCAATGTAAGGAGCTGTTGAGAAGCACCTTGACTGGGGCAGCTAGGTGGCACATTGGATAGAGCACTAGCCCTGGAGTCAGGAGAACCTGAGTTCAGATCTGGCCTCAGATACATACCACTTACTAACTGTGTGACCCTGGGTGAGTCACTTAACCCCATTGCCTACTCTCCCCCCCCAAAAAAAAGAAAGAGAAGCACCTTGACTTAGAGCTGACTGGCCCCTGACACATGCTACCTCTGTGACCATGGGCAAGTCCAATGTTCTAGACCAAACTGCTTTAACAATGCACCTCCATCAGGAAAAAAAAATTGTTTATATGCTTGTACCAGGCAGCTAGGCGGTACAGTGGATACAGTGCTGGATCTGGAATCAGGAATACTCATCTTCCTGAGCTCAAATCCAACCTGACACTTACTAGCTGTGTGACCCTGGGCAGGTTATTTAACCCTGTTTGCTTCAGTTTTCTCATCTGTAAAATGAGCTGGAGAAGAAAATGGCAAACCATTTCAATATCTTTGCCAAGAAAACTCCAAATGGGGTCACAGAGAGTCGAACATGACTGAAAAAATAGACTGAACAACAACACTACTGTATTAATGTTATATTATGAAACATACACACAAAGACATTCTAAAGGATATAAAAGTGAAATAAACATTTTAAAATATTTAAAATAGTTTTTATTCTCAATGGCACAAAAAACCTTTTAGCTCTCACTAGAATATTCATGTTTTAATCTTTAAACACTGATATTAGTAGCATACTGTCTATGTCTTGAGCATTTAACATGTTTGATGTCCTCTATTTACTGCTTAGAATCGCTAATGTGTCTAGTGTAACCCCAGTCCCAAAGCCCGATGGTATGGCACTGGTTGTTGGAGATGAATGCCCTGCCCTGTGTGAGGGTGGGAGGGAGTTGGTGAAGTCTTGTGGGAGTGCTCTTCAAGCACTGAGTCCAGAAGACAGAAGAGGCTAACCCCACTTCATGGTGCTGAAGGCTAAGGTTCTGAGAAGACATGAGAGATCCTGGCAGTCTCCTTCATGGCCCTATCCCTAGCTTTCTA